GCCTCTCCCCCTTGCTGCTGCATCCAAGAGGGAGCGTCCAATGGGACAACACCTATCTACAAAGTGGGGTGACCCGGGGGTGCAGGGGGGCGGTCCCACCCCGTGTTCACATTATGTCATCCAGGAGGTTGGGGCTGGCCACCCAGTCGAGGGTGCGGGGCTCAGAAGCTGCCATGATCATGCACATGAACTGTTTGCCCGTCCTCTTGTCGATGGGGTAGATGGTGGTGGGGGTGAAGCGCTTGTTGCTCTCCACGAAGTCGCAGAGCTGCTCATAGACAGCAGGAAACTCGTGCCGCAGGAAGACGCCGCGGATGCGCAGCTCCCGCTGGATGTTGATGAAGCAGACCTCCCGCGCCTTGCGGCCCTCCTCCCCCTCCTTGTCAATGTCTGCTGTGCCAGGCGGCGGAGGCAGGATCAACGTCTCCATGTCCCGCTCCTTCTTCAAGATCTTCTTCTCAGGGCTGGAGGAGGCTAAGGCCACCTTGGCGTATTTCCTGACCGTCGGCACCTGTGCCTTCGGCGACGGCCTCTCCGGCACTTTTTGGGTGACAGCCACAGTTACATGCAGCAGGAAACATTCGTTGGGGTCATATTGGTTGCCCGTCTCCCGCAGTTCCTGAGCGTACTCCCCCAGGTTGTCCGAGTAGCTGTCGAGTTCCCGCAGGGACAGGTAGGTAGGGGACATCAGCAGGCTTTCCAGCCCAAACTGCAGGAAGTTCTCAGCTGAGCCGGCATTGGGGAAGCCCAGGAAGAGGACACCGCGGCCACGGGAGAGGTAGCCCACCTTGGCAATGCGTGAGAAGGCCTTGTGCACCTCTGTGTTCTCCCGGCAGAACTGCAGGACGTGGCGGCAGACGCTGCCCACACGCCCATAGACACAGCTCTCCTTGTGCGTGTCCCAGTCCTCCCGGCGGCAGTGCCGGGAGCAGTAGTAGGTGTAGCAGCTGTGGCATGACTTGAAGTAGAGGCAGGCGTTGAACATGGTCTCTGTCCGCCGGCACTTGGCATTCGAACACATCATCATGTCGTCCTCCTCCGCACTCAGGTCAGGCGAGCAGTTCTCTGGTGACTTCTCAAAAGGGCCAACGGACAGTGGGGCTGGTGGAGGGCGCCGGGCACCATCGCGGGAGCTGGGACCCGGCTGCTCCTTCGTAGGTCGGGGTCCCTTGGGCACACTGAGGGGGACCTTCCTGCCCTCACCCTTTCGGGGTGGCCCTGGGGTGTTGCTGCTGCTGCTCAGAAGCTGCTTGAGCTGCTCAGCAAGGCTGTCCCTGTCCCTGGCACGGTGGCCTGGTGCTGGCTTGTAGTCAATCACAAGGTCAGTGATGAGCTCATCCAGCTGTTCCAGGCTGCGCTGGCGCCCTGAGCCACTCTCCTTGGGGATGGGCTGTGGGGCGCAGGGCACGGCATAGGGACCAGACTCTCGCCCTGTGTCCAGCATGTCCCAGCTGGCTGAGCGCCTCTCGCTCCGGCCCAGCCCTTCGGCACGGATGTCATTATCAGTGATGGTGATCTCTGGAGTGACGTACCAGGAGCGGCCTGGGGGACCACGGCCACCATCGCTGTGGACCCTCTCAAGGATGGAGCTCTCGGAGAGGGACAGAGCGGCGTAGCGCTTGGGCGAGCTCGATAGGTTGATGACCACTGGCTGCCGGCGCTCCTCGGGGGATAAGGCACGGTGCTGCTCCTGGGCCAGCAGGTTCTCATAGCTGCGCCCGCGCTGCAGGACCTCCTCCCTGTGCCCTGCTGGCGCCAGGATGTTATCCCAGGATTTGGAGTAGTGCTGGCTCTCCCTGCCCAGCCGTGGTGGGGTTACACTGTAGCTGCCGTGCCAGGAGGAAAGCATGGCCTCCCGGCCAGCTGGCTGCGGGGCAAAGCGGGACACCTGCAAGGTCTGGTAGGGCAGCGCACCCTGCTCAGGGCAGAACCACTCCCTGAAGTGCAAGGGCTGGGCACTGCGGGGCGGGGGGCACGTCCGTGACAGCACCTCCCGCTCCTGGTACCTCCCGTAGTCCTCAGCATAGAATAGCCGGGCAGAGGAGCCAAGGGCCGGGTATGTCCGGGCATCCTCGGCATAGAGAGTTTTGATAGGGGTGCTGCGGGGGGCGTAGAAGCGGGGCTCGTCCCCGTAGAAGGCACAGGCAGGTGCCTCCTGCACTGGGTAGCCCCGTGCCTCCTCCACATACAACGTTCGGGGTGGCACTGTGTGGACAGCAGCTTTGGCCGGGTCCTCGGCATAAAAGTGCTGGGGGACGCCATGGCGGCCAGGGTAGGGGTAGCTGGCATAGCCAGAGCTGCGGAGGGGCATGGCTGGGCTGGGGCATCGCGTGGGCTCCTCCATGTAGAAGAACTTGGCAGGGACTCCGGGAGCTGAGAAGGTCATGCAGCCCCTCTCAGGGTACTCCCGGAACTCCCGCGAGGCCGGCACCGGCACTGTCTGGTATGCCAGTGCCCGGGGGGCTG